ATATGGAATATAATGGATAGTATATAATTAATAGTGGATAATCTCCTAAAATCCCTTTATCTAGTGTTGCTACAGGAGCTGTGTCTCATACAGCTGAGATGCTTTGTCATTGTGTTGATTGTCCTTGTAAAATTAATTGGTTTTGTGTAACAGTTTTGCTGAAATACGGTTTTACTGAGAGACCCTGATGAATCCTTGTCAGAGAATGTCAGTTACTAGTGCTGCTTTATTTGTATCTACAGTTATGTACATCTAGACATCTACAGTGGGTTGAACAGTAACTTAAACCGCCAGCACCACAGGCTAGAATCTCGCTACAGCAGCAGCTCGGGAGGATCATATGAAGAGGAAAAAAGTAAGATTTTTATTTTAAAATATTTCTATGGATAGAAAACAAAAATTTCACAAGTTAATACTTTTTCTGAAGGTTGTGGAACATAAGGGAATCCCCATTATCAGTGTTTTTTGCATGAACCTATTAAGAAATAGGAGGTTTTTACCTTAGTACTGGTATTGAAGTCTTGGATACATTTGATGACAATAAAATGTACAAGGAAAGATAATACACTTTCCTTCTCTTGTCCTCTGGAATGAGTTGTGAACATCTTCCCAGCTGAAGTGGTTTTACTCTATTTCCTTTGACAGTTAGGCAGAAGAAACAGAGAATTTAGCAGGAAGAACATGAGATTTAGGAAAAAGGTGATGGAAAAGAAGTTTTAAAACAATTAGAAGTAAATGTTCTTTTAAATTATAGCAGTCCTTGGCCTGTTTACACAACGAGTACAAAACTTTCTTGAAAGCCATAACAGAGGAAAATATAGCAGGGAAAAAGGATCTCATTACACGTGACTAATTTTCAAGCTTGTTTTGAAAATGTGTTTTGGTTTATTTTTTTGCAATCTATGGTTTGTTTTTTTCTGAGGTGCAAAGGTAAGGACAGAGGTAAAAATCCTGAAAATCCATTATACTTTTGGAGATATTTCTTTAACAGAGGCTTATTAACTATGGCTACCTTAGTACCAGTGCCTGAGATAAAAAAATTATTGTGGCACTGCTAGGGAAAGCTAAACAGATCATGTAACGAGGCAAAAATGAGTGCAGTGGTCAGACAATAAACGATGTGTTACATTAGTGGGTTCTGTATGCTTTGTCAGAGTACTTGTTTGAAACTCTTGTTTCAGCTAACAGGCTGTTAGTAATGAAAATTACTTTGTACTTTAACCTGCATGGGATTATCAGATCTATTTCAGCCTGATCCAGATCATTATAGTGCTCCCACAGACTGTCTTCTTAGGATTCACTCCATTTTTTTTTGACAGTTGATTTTGCTACCAGTTAGGTTGTTTGGGTATGGTGCAGCACATGATACAGCACTGCCTTTTCCTTCCTTTTCCTGTGCTCCTGAACAACAGGCATTTTTCTGCATTTTGAGCTGTAGATGTTGGTTTGGAACCGTGTGTGTCCCATGCTGTACTGAAGCAACAAGAGCCCATTGGGGTCTCCTTATGCTCTCCTTAATGACTGATTCTGTGCAGACTATGAAGGTTAGAGTGAATAGGTGGTTCTTATTGCCTTTCAAGAAAGCAATACCTAATGTCCTCTACAGAGCTTTTTGTAAAGGCATACTAATGCAGAATCTGCTAAACAGTCAGTAACAGGTTGTTGGATGTTCTGGGCAGACAGGCAGTTTATTACTGCTTGGATGGGCAATGTCTGGTATCACAGTTGTAGTATTTTTAATTTTTTTGAAGCAGATGATATTTCACATGTTCCTTCTGTCAGAAGTTTGTCACTTCCAGTTGAGAAGGTGATAATGAGCTGATACATTTGTGAACATCTGAAACTTCTGCAGCTATACTTCCAAAAGGACAGTCACTGAAGTACTGAGCTGTTGTGGCAGTCTCCTGGCTTGTTTCTAGCCTTAAGTGATTATTCTGAAGTCCAAGACATCTCCTTTTAAAGCACACAAATATTATGGATGTGTAACGCAGTGTACTCTCATACCAAATAGACCGTGTTTTTCTTCCACTTTGAAGCTTGCTTAATCAAAAACTAAATGTCCTTCTGTGTTTTCTTGATAAATGTACTGATTTTCTGAGCAGTAACTTTTGTCAAGCATTGGGATTGGGCTGTTACAAAAGTGGCAATTTCTGAGTTACTCCATATATCAGGTCAGCATTATCCAACATGTAGAACTGGTGGGGTTTTGTTAGTGAGATCTATGAAGAGGTGCTCTTGAGAAATACTTCCTTAGCCTATGAAAAAATGCTCTTCAAAATTAGTTCAATGCAATCTTAGGACTCAGCCTTAACTTAATCCCTATCTGATGTGAGGTTTCAAGGAAATGACATTAGATCACTTTGCCTTTATTTTTTATAATTTTTATGAACCTATTCAACTAAATCTTACTCTATTACGTATGTGTCGTCTGTAGAATCATCTTTGTGCAAAAAGAATAACCACTTCTAGTTTAAAACTGTGTCCAACTACTACTGTTTATAGCTGATTCCCATTCCCCTCTCCCAGATCTCAGCTTTTCAAGAATTTAAAACTATTTCTTCTGAAGGCTTGATGGTACAGAAATGTAGACTATATATATATTTCTGGTTTAATTTTCTGTTGTATTAGGTGATTCAATGCCTCTGTATTCAAACTGGCGTTTGAAGGTGATGGAGCACAATCAAGGAGAGCCTCTACCTTTCCCACCTTCTGGAGGTTGCTGGTCACCATTGGTGGATTACTTGCCTGAAACTTCTCCTCCAGGCATGTCACTTCACAGGTAACTGTTTTAACTCTGCTGATGGAAATTCATTACGTTTTAATTTATGTTGCACAAATATAGGAATTCAAAGAAAGCAGATTGATACCAGTAGATAGTATATTTGTGGGTTTACTCACAGATCTAGCAATTTAAGATTTCTCAACCTTTTATCTTGGAGGACTCAAGTTTTTCCATCTATCTTCATCAGGAGCATTCATCTTTTCCCTTATAACACAACTTTTTGAATGTTTATAGAATAAGCAAAGAATACAAGTTAGAAGCATAGGAAGCTCTTTGCAGCTCTTTGTAAAGTTCATGTTACATTCTTCTAACAGTTTTTTTTTGTTTGTTTTAGATGCAATATAGCAGTGATTCTTTTGACTGACTTGATAGTTGACCACAGTGTAAAGGTGGAATGGGGAGGATACTTGCATCTTTTGCTTCATGCAATTTTTATAGGTAACTTAATTCTTACAGAAATATGTATAGTAACTTGGGAATTCTTAGCTGTTCTTTTTCATATTTAAATTAATGTTTGCCGTTGTACTGAAATCCCATTAATTTGATAATACCTAGTATTTTTCAAAATTCAATTACGTATCTTTCAGCTTGATTAGTATACCAATCACAGATAAAGTTACTACTCTGTGAGAAACAAGAGGCTTTATCAATGTTTGTTAATCTGTATGCTCTTGTTTCTATATTGAAACACTGAAAAAACTTTGTTTAGTAAATTATTTTATCTATTATTTGATAAAGTGTAACAGACCAATTTGACTATTGCTGTATTTTAAACAATGTAATTCAGTGTGCCCTTTGAATGTAATAAAGCTTTTTCATTTTCCTTTTGTGTTAGGTTTTGACCACTGTCACCCTGAAGTCTATGAGCACTGTAAACGACTCCTTTTGCATCTACTGATAGTGATGGGATCTGGCAGTAATGTCCAGTCTGTTGCTTCTGTCCTACTCAGAAACAGAGAGTTCAATGAGTCCAGGGTGCTTACTGTCAAGCAAAGTGCCCATTTAGATTATACTTTCACAGGTATGCTTTTGATTTATCAAGTCTTGCTTGTTAAAATTACACAGGAAGTTATTTCTTTTTCCAGGCATTATTAATATTTCTGTTGTTTGTAATATTTTCCTGAGCCCTTGCCATTAGAATGAAGTCAAAATGAATACAGTTGATGTGAACATTTCGTGCCCAGTCATCAAAGGAGGGAGCACAGTTGAATGATTAAATAGTGGAAACCTAAAAAGGAGCTCTGTGTTTTGGATCTTTAATAAATAAGTTTTTACGATGCCTTTGAAAATAAAACCCAGGGAAATACTTGTTCATAGCAACTTTAAATTTCTGATTTTTGTCAGCTGTAATTGCATTGTTTATTGGCTGTCAGAATACTTCTTTGAGATCCTACCTTCTAATGTTCATCTGAACATTACAATATTGTAAGTATACAGGACACTCTGTATTTCCTGTATATGTCCTTATGAAGGGACTGTTTTGATGGTGAGAACCTATTGAAGTGTCTAAAGAAATAGTTCATTTTTTTAAAAACACGGTACTTCATATTATTTCAGTAGGTGGCAGCAGATTCCCATGCAATCTGTTTGTTCTGTTTTGTTCATGTCAGAGGTGGTTTTGTTACTAACCAAAAATATTCATCTGGTTTGTTAATTTGGCTTTTGTGGCAATGAGGAATTAAAAAGTGTGCCTAGTGGACAAGTTCTTTTATGTGAACCTGTTCAGCAGAATTGTAGCAGTGTACCTATACAGTGACCTATACAAACCATTCCCTTCTTTTTATTTTATTTGTACCAGCTAATGCCCCAGTCCAAACCATGTGGTTCTGTAGGGTGAAAATTTGTGGCAGATGTCAGTGAGTCTCAAGCTCAGTGTACAGTTGTTGCTGTCAAAGGCCCTGCCAGTGTTCCTTGCCAGTTTACTTTCTCTCAGCACTTCATAAATGGATAGAGGCATAATGTGAGGAGCCACTGCAGTTATATTTTGTTGCCACACAATTGTTTGCGTGGAACAGAGAAATCTTGGGGTTGCAAGATTAAACTAATTTAAGAGAAACTGTGCAGTCAGAGGAGCTCTGCCTGGAGTTGATTCACTAGCTAATACTTGGTGGTTGCTGATTTAAAGTTCTGCCAGTTACACTAGGACTGGCTTTTAACAAAAAACCATTATCTGCTTATTATTAGGAAGTAGTTTCTATAATTTGTCTAAACTTATTAAGTTGAGATGCCTTGGAAGATGATGAGCTGTCATATTACTAATATAGAATCAAATGTAATTTATTCTCATTAAATTATTCTCGTTACATTTGTAAAATGATTAATTTTTTTAGAGGGCTAATTTTTTTTTTTAATGTATTTATTAGTAACTGTCTCCTTAAAAGCTCATCATCATCTTGTTTTTGTTTCAGCAGGTGTTCATGATTTTATACCGGATTACCAGCCCTCCCCAATGACAGACTCAGGGCTTAGTTCAAGTTCTACCTCTTCTAGCATCAGTTTAGGAAATACAAGTGCTGCCATTTCTCAACTGCACACCACAATCCTCAATGAGGTTGACATTTCAGTAGAGCAGGATGAAAAAGTGAAAACTCTCATAGAATTTATTACCTCAAGGTAAGATTTCGTTTTTCATTTTTGCAAGATTTCATTTTCATTTTTGAGAAGAAAATGGCAAAACCCTTACTATTTATCCATCACATTGTCTAATTCTGTCTCTGTTTCATCACCAGTATGGGGGTTTATGTGTTGCAACCTATGAACAGCTCTTAACTTTGCAACACTCTCAGAGAATTTTGACCACCTTTCATGTCCTAAGTGTTTAAAATTATTTTGCCATGTTCCATTCAGGTCTGTTACCTTTGCTTGCCACACAGTTTATAGAATTCACTTTTCTATCTGAGGGATTAGGGCAGGAATACATTGAGATGAGTAGGGAGCTGAAAGATTTGTGTGTAGTAGGAGAGAGCTGACTATTCAAAAATCAGGAATTTGTTGCAAAGAACATCTGTAAAACCATCAACACTTGTGCAGTTTCTGTGACAGTGTATATAAAGCTCTCATCTCAATCTGAAAGCCTACCTGTTTCTCACAGCTTTTGATACTTTTGCTTTGCATCAGCCTAACTGTAGAATAGGATGGAGTATTGATGGGAAGAAAATGGGAAGCAAGCAGGTTGTTTTAGGAGTTGTATCATGGTGTTTGATAGATAGCTAAATATTATTTAATAGACACATCTTTTCCTCTATTTACCCTGATTCAGTTGTGTCTGATATATTCCTTTTCACCTTGTTTTAACTCCTTGTGTATTGTTGTATGATACTGGGTAGTTGTGAACCTGCACTTGTAAGTGGTTTCTTTTATGTGGCAGGTAGGAGATTGTTTTGCAGTTAACCTCAAGGTTCAAATTTCATTTAAATGGCATCAATGACTAAGGCTGTATTTTACATTCTGTTAATTTTTATATTTTAGGAAAAGGGGCCCACTTTGGAATCATGAAGATGTTTCGGCCAAGAACCCTAATATAAAGAGTGCTGAACAGTTAACTGTGTTTTTAAAGCATGTGGTATCTATATTTAAACAGTCTAGCTCAGGTATGTTGGAAAAAGTTGATGCATGATTGAATGTCCAAGTCTGCAAACTTAAATAAATATTTTTGAATGCAGGTTATCTATAAATTCACTCTAGGTAATTGCTTAGTGCTTCTAAATAACAGATTTTTCTTGTGTATTGTACACTTCAGTTTGTGTTTTTATTATGGCAGATTTAAATATAATCTTATAGGAATGAGATAAAATATCTTACTGATTTGTTATGGATACTTAATATTCAAATATGAAGTGTTTTATCGTCTGCAAGTCTCTCCAGCAATAAGTATTATGGAACACAAGTTTATATGCCTGGAAAGGTTTTTGGAAACTTAACAGAGCTTGAGAAAAATGTAGAGGATGTGAGAGTATTTTTAAAGTTAGGAATGACTTTGGCCATTTACTCTTCATTAAATTCAAGTGGGTTTGTCTTCTTTACAAAGCAGTGTTGCTGGAGTGTGTATTTGTTTTCCTAGGAGGGTATCAGTTGGAACACCGTCTCAGTGAAGTCGCGTTGCAAACTGCTCTTTCCTGCTCCTCTCGACATTATGCTGGGAGGTCCTTTCAGATTTTCAGGGCTCTGAAGCAGCCTCTCACTGCATCTACACTTTCTGATGTGCTCTCCAGACTAGTAGAAACTGTTGGAGATGCAGGAGAAGAAGCTCAGGTATTTGAATTTTCCCCTCACTTGATTAGAAAGCTAAGTCTGACAAAAGGATATATTTGCCTTATTAGTTACTGACAGCAAAATTTAAAAAGTTTTTTTATTTTGAAATATTCCAAATATCCAAATGGTTTTAATCATGACACTTTCTGAAGTTTCACCTAATCAACTGATGAAAAGATGAGCTGTGCACATTCTCTTCTACAGCAAGAGGAACTTTCAGAGAGTTTTGATACTCTGTTACCTGCAAACACCATATCTTTCATTATTAGAGAACACTGAGCTCAGCTGTATAGAAAATAATTTAGGTTTTCTTTCATTAAGAGCTTAACCTGTAAAAGTATTAACAGTTTTTCAGCTTACTGTCATTGTACATCTAAAGAGTGGATCTAATCTTTTAATAGTGCAAAATGAGAGTCTGAGTGACTCCATCCTTCAGCCTATCCTTAAAAATAATGCAAACCAGAATGAATTCTGTGAATACTTAGAAATAAATTAAGGTTTTTCCCTGTCTTGAAGCTGTACTGCTAATTTGAGCTGTCTCATCAGGATCGTGTTCTAATTGAAGCATGAAATAATTTAGTTACTGATACTTTTATATTACTACTCAGTAGATTTTCTGTGATCTTCCTTGTGCATATTGCATAATTTATAATGGCCTGTGTCTTTCCCCAGGGTTTTGTCATAGAACTGCTTCTGACTCTAGAGTCTGCTATTGATACATTGGCTGAAACCATGAAGCATTATGATCTGCTTTCTGCCCTTTCTCAGTAAGTTCTTTTATTAGTCAAGCTGCATTATATATTTTTATACATTTGAATTATTGAAAGTCTGGATTACAAATGTAATGAAATGATTTTGATGTCTTTGCTGAATAGTTGTAGCCTTATAGCAAAATTGCTTGTTCTCTTATGTGTTTTGTTTTTAATCATTCTGCCTCAAGGAAAATTCATAGGAATCTAGATGTCTTGAAAAGGATCCCTACCTTTTCTATTTACCCTCTTGGGTCCAATTTAGTTTTTAAAAAAAGAGGTGTTCAGGGTGTTCCTTGCAGCTCAGTCCTGAAATGTCAGTTCTTCTGAAACTTCTCAAGAATATAGACACTGAACATACTAGTCTGCTTTAGGCCTCAGATTTCTTGGCTGTGTGTGAAGTGTAATCGAACAGTCTGAGTAATTTGGGTATCTCATTACAGTTTGAGTGGTTAGCTCTTTCCATCAAACTGAAAAAAATCTGAAGTGTACAGACATCTTTATTTGACTTCCTCACAAAGTTTTTGAAGATGTTGAGATTTCTAGGAATACACTCAATTTCTCAGTATCAGAACTGGGAGGTGTTGGTTTTCCTAGGTTAGATACTTCAGTCAAATGTATGGTAATAAGCAAATAATTTTATTAATTATTTTATCTATAATATCTATAAGTAATTTGGGGTGCTAGGTCATTAATTTATATAAGTATCTAAAAGGGAGGGTGCCAAGATGATGGAGCCAGACTCTTTAGTGCAAACCAATAAAACAAGAGGTAATGGGCAAAAAGTTATGCACAGAAAGTTCCACCTGAATATGAGGAAGAACTTCTTCACTGCGTGAGTCACTGGAACAGGTTGCCCAGAGAGGTTGTAGATTCTCCCTCAGTGGAGCTATTCAAGAACCATCTGGACACAATCCTGAGCCATGTGCTAATTTTTCTGATTTTGCTGAATTCTGCTGTAATGTTTCTGGTATTCTGGGATTGTAACAAATAAACTTGGTAGAAGGGATAACAGGATGCTGCAGTCTTGTCCTTTTGCTGTAAGGATATTTTAATAGCAGATAAACAAATTCTGTATTTATGTACATTATATTACTCCTATGGTGATGAAGCAGAATATTCACTGGGGGTGTGGGTGTGTATGTGATTAGTGTAACATCTTTTTTCTTTCTTCCCTTTTTCTGAACTGTATGTTATTAAAGTATTTTGCATGGAATAATATGTAATACTGATTTTTTTTTTAGAACCTCATATCATGATTCTGTAATGGGAAACAAGTATGCAGCTAATAGGAAAAGCACTGGACAGATAAATCTAAGCACAAGTCCCATTAATAGTGGCAGTTGTTTGGGACACTACAGCAATACAAGGAGTAATTCTTTGAGACTGAATTTAATCAGCGAGCGTAGAGGCGACCGGCGACGGAGCAACACACTGGATATAATGGATGGAAGGATAAATCATGGTGGAAGTTTGGCCAGGACTAGAAGCCTTTCCTCCCTTAGAGAGGGAGGGATGTATGATGTGCAGCCTACTACTGACCCTGTCAACTTGATGGCCACCATATTTTGGATTGCAGCTTCGTTGCTGGAGTCAGATTACGAGTATGAATACCTTCTGGCTCTCAAGCTACTCAACAAGCTTCTTATTCACATGCCTCTGGATAAATTAGAGAGTCGGGAAAAGATAGAAAAGGTGCAGGATAAACTGAAATGGAATAACTTTCCAGGCCTTCAGCAGCTTTTCCTGAAAGGTTTTACTTCAGCATCTACACAAGAAATGACAGTTCATCTCCTCAGTAAACTCATCACAATTTCCCGGCATGCCTTGGTGGATCCTTCTCAGTTAGCAGGTATCTTTAGTAAATCTGTAATGAAAATATATTCTTTCCATCAAATTAAGTGGGATCAAAATCAGTGGTAATTATGCATTTGCCTTAAAATAACCCTTCAGTGAAATGCTTTTTGCAGTTATTGATATTACACTATTAGATAGTGGGAATACATTACAGACTCTGATTATGTGCCAAGAAAGATTGCTCATAAACTTTGTGTGGAGTATTGCTTACAAGTGAGTTTTAACTGCAGTGTATTTTTTTCATTATCTTGTGCTAATTGAGATCACTTAGGACTACACACACATTTTTAGAAACAATGTGACTGTACTGCCTAAGACTATCCAGTTTCATGGTAGTTTTGCTTAATTGGGCCAGTGATGATTATATTTTCATCTCATGCATTTTTGTACTTAACACAATCACATTTATATACGTTTTTCATACGTACACACTTAGGTACATGTATGTGTATATATAATTTATATATCTCTCTGAATGTATGTGCCATGCTGTAGGGGTTTTAAATGCTGGATAACTCAACACTAAATTAAGTGATATTAAAAATCTTCAGGGCTCATATAACTGTGTTTATGTATGTGTTTAGGATTTCCCCTAAACATCTTGTGCCTACTTCCTCATCTGATCCAACATTTTGATAACCCAACCCAGTTTTGTAAAGAAACAGCTGACAGGATAGCAAAGGTATGTAACAAGATGCTTGGACAAGTATCGGTGAGGTTATACCAGCATTGCTTCTGTATTTTTTTGGCTCCCTTATGTAATACTTTGACATGATTCTAATAGTAATACAGCAATAACTATAAAAGATATTATTTTAAAGATGGGATCCAGTCCTAATTTATATAGCTGGACCTCATGTCGACCCCTGAATTTGTCAACGTAAAAACACATGTAGCTTATTCTCTAAAATTTAGATGTAAAGAACAGATTTCCTTATTAATGATATCGATGACTTTTTTCTTACTTGCCTGATATTTCCATTTGTAATTTTAAAAGTAAACCTGGTCACATTTTAAGCACACTTCCTAATTTCCTTATTAGATCCTTAGCTTTTGGATCCTTGGCTTTCGGACTGGCAGGTAGAGAAGTAAAGGTTTATATGTTCTATTACTTGTAGACAGTAGTTAACCTCGGGATATGTGTGGACTACAGTGGCTGCTAAAGCAGTACACAGTACACAGCAGCAGTTGCCAGCCAGGATGGTGTTGTGCTGGCTTAGCAGTCTGCATTTTAACAAAGAGTGTGGAAAGGGGAATAGAAAAGTGCTGTCTGGGACCGGAGATGCAGTCACAGGCCTCTGGCTGCCCAGGCTGTGATATGTGATCACAGAACTGCCTCAAAGGAGGATGTGCCTAATGCAAATCCAGAAATTAATGCTAGGGATGTAGCTGAGATACATTTGTTATGATTAGTAGATAAACTTGGAACATGGATGCCATGGTACCAAAATTCAACAGAAACCATAGGTCATGCTTGGTGGTCAGGTGGATTTCAGTTATTAGAAAATCAAGTGAAATCTGGGAGAAGTGCATAATGGCTTGGGAATGCTTGGATTAAAATACTATCGTTTCCAATACAATTAAATATGGTTTTGCTTTTCAGGTTTGTGCAGAGGAGAAGTCACCAACTCTTGCCAATCTGGCTCATATGATGAGTTTATATAGCACACACAGTTACTCCAGAGACTGTTCTAACTGGATTAATGTAGTGTGTAGATACTTGCATGACTCCTTCTCAGATGCCACATTTAACCTCGTAACTTATCTTGCAGAGGTAAAATTTTTATAAAAGTGTATCTTCTGTTGACAGCTCATTGACAGTTCCTTATTTTTCATGATTCTGAATACTGGGGGGGAATAAAGCACATCATCTGTAATGGGAAAATAATATTAAAATGGGTGTACTGTCATTTTGGAGTGCAGCAGTTTTAATGTACCTTGAAATTATGATCCCTCTGATGAAGGATCTTCTTTTGTGATAGTAGTATATGGTAGTAGATATTTATATTCTGTACCACATCAGTATATACTATCTTGGCCTTAACAGAACATGCTTAGTGCAAATTTTAAGAGAACGTTTTTTAGCCAAGTGCACATTTAAAGATGTCCTTATCACAGCTCAAAAAATTAATTTCAAAGTTCAGTTGTAAGTATTGTGTAATATATGTAATTGAAGAGAATTTAAATCATAGAAATCAGTATATGATTCTGTCAGCCATTCATACAGTAAAACTGTTACTACCTTTAAAAAAGTACCTTGTATGAAAAGCTTGCAGAGCTTGTTCACTCTCATTAATTACTTTGTATGTACTGATTTTGTTCATACAACTGTGTTTACCAACCTTCTTTAAAGTGTAGCTGTAATTGTTTTTCATACAGCTTTAAGATTTGGAATTCGTGTGAACACTTCTGTTTCGTGAGAAGTGTTTTATTATTAGCTGCTTTAGGTCTGTGTCAACAAATATTTCAAAATTTAGGGGAAAGAATGAATTAGGACAGAAAACATTGTTCTATTGCATTACTATTTTTTAGTGCTAAAACAAAGGTTTGAAAACCAGGAAGTGGTATGTTTAAGTTTCTTGAAGGCAAAAATGTGTGTGGAAGTTACCTGTATTTTAATGTTTGCTTTCACTTTTGACTACCAGTAAAGGCTCTAATTAAATCTTGTATTTTCAATAACTTTTTGTAGCTGTTAGAGAAAGGGCTATCGAGCATGCAACAGTCCTTGCTACAGATCATTTACAGTCTTCTGAGTCATATTGACCTCTCCACAGCACCAGTGAAGCAGTTTAATTTGGAAATCATAAAAGTTATTGGTAAATATGTTCAGGTAGGTACTTGGAAGAACTGTAAAAGCCTTTCTGCTTGTTAGCAAAGTGGTATCAAAATTACACTTGAATTTGGGGGGGAATTTATATCACATATAAAAATAGTTGTTTGAAGTCAGATTCCATGGTTGGGTTTTTTTGCTGTGTACTAAATTTACTAGATGCTTATGTATTTGTCCAATGCAATTTGCATCTTATGGGACAACTTATCTGGGTGAATGTGCATGTGTTCACAGATATAGGCAACTCTTCATATGTAGTTAGAGGAGATGATCCTTGAACTATTAAAATATGAGGAAATGTTTACTGCTAAACTAGACAAATGTTTTATTGATGTGTATATGTTTTCAAAAGAAAGTTTTATGGTTAAATGCATATTTAAATCACTTTCGGTAATATATCTGTGAGGAACATTAAGGTGCACCTTAATGGAATTGAGTGCATTTTTTATTAAAGAAAGTCCCCAAAAGATGTACAACAGTGTTTTGCCCAAGGTAATTTGAGCCTTTGTACTTGGAACACAAATTTACTGAAAATCTGTTTCATGGAAGAAAGTCTAACATCTCTCTGAAAGATTTTATAAAAATGCCTGGAGCATAAAAGCATTTCAGTGCACAACATTCTCTTTTCCCTCCCCCTTTCCATTCCTTCTTTTCCCTGAATTCCATTATTGCCAAATGTATTTCAGTCAAATGGTTTAATCATAATTAACCAGGAAAAGTAGTGTTCCCTGGATGTTTTGTTATTGATGGATATGTACTTTAGGTATTGTGCTGCTGTCAGAGTGCATTAGGCAAAATGGAATGATTAGCATTAGCTATAGTTTTTGTGGCCTGGCAGCTGCTTACTGCACCCCTGACCTTTCTGTGAGTTTTCTGTGCAAACCCACACTACCATGGAATGTCATCTTAATTAGAAGATGTAAGCTATCAAAAGAATGGCACTAGCAAAAAAATATTCCAGAGAAACCCATTGTATTTTTGATACAATAAAGTATCTTGCCGTGAATGATAAAAGATCCTAAATTAACATGTCCTGTTTAAATGTGGTGTTACTAAGCTGGTGGTTTTTAGTCCTCTGCAATCACAGTGTATCTTAAGAAATTTAAGTTGCTACAGGATGGTTCAAGTTTGAGACTCCTTTTTTTGATGTTTATGATGCACAGAAATTCAGGAGATTGTTGAAGACTCTCATTGTCTACAAGGAAACATGAGGCATATACTATTTAGTATTGAAAGTGGTGGGTTTTTAATGTAATAAAAAATATTTTAACAAACATGGCCTAATTATAAAAAAAAAAACCAACCAAAAACTAGACATCCTGCTAATTTCAGAAATCAAAAGATTTGAGTGTCACGCAGAATCCTTACATGTTCAGGAGTGTAAATCTTAGCCTTTGCATGGTGATGCTTTTATTGTAAGTCTCTTCTGATTTGCTCCACCATGTGTGTAGTTGCAACCACTGAATAACTTAGACTACCTTAATCATCTCTTTAAGGAGAGCACACTTAACTCAGGCTCTGCCTCTTATATTCTCATACTTTTCCCTGGCTTTTTTTAAGCACTCCATTGGTTTGACACTGTATATAAACTTTATAAATGTTTTCCTTTTTTTTTTTTTTTAGAATCTTTTTACATATTTCCTCATGCATTTCAAGCACAAAATAGTTTTGTTTGTTTCAAATTCAGTTAACTCTGCCCATAACTGTAATATATTAAAGATGCCAAGAGATGGAAGTTGTTTTGCTTTTAAATACTGTTAGTTTTTATCTCCTGGGACACGAAGGGCAGATATTTCAGACAATGGTAAAAATCACAGTGTAACTACATCGAGTGAGGGACATGGAACTGAGTGTGATGTGGTAGCACAGTGACCTGGACCTACTGAGCTTGCTTGGCTGAACCTGTCCCCCCCCTGTGGGATGCCCTGGTCCCTTGCCACTGCTTCCCTGGCACTTCAAGGTCTGAAGTTGCTCATCTGTGCTAGCACCTTCACCACACCTAGGACATCAGAGTGCTTGGTTTTGGGATTCTTGCAAAATCCTACTGTGCATAAAAGTTGCCAGCTTGGTTGAAGTGAATGTTTTGTGCTTTGTTTTGTTCTCTTTAGAGTCCATATTGGAAGGAAGCCCTTAATATTTTGAAACTGGTGGTGTCTCGCTCAGCAAGCCTTGTTGTGCCTAATGATATTCCAAAGTCTTATGGAGGTGACATAGGTTCTCCTGAAATCTCTTTCACAAAAATTTTTAATAATGTCTCCAAGGAGCTGCCTGGGAAGACCTTAGATTTTCATTTTGATATCTCAGAGGTAATTATGATCTTTTAATTACAATGCAGTAATGACTTGCTGTTGCAAACTCAGGGGTTTTTTTCTGTTAGCATTCTCCATATATGTGTTTTAAAATAAATACAGTTTTAAAGAATGGCAGAGGTTGAAGTTTTGCGTACTTGTAATTAGAGTCATACTGAAAGATAAACTTCTAATTCTTTTATGTTGTGTTTTTGCCTTTTCCCCCTTTTGAATGTCTGGAGAGTTAATTACTAGAAGTCAATCAGATTATTCTCAAGGGTATTTCAGCTGTGTCAGAGAGCAGATTAATGCAGCTGGCTGCTACTTGCAGCTGCACATTCCAGGCTTTCAACAAATGAAGGGTTGTGCATTCAAGGGCTGAGAGGATTAAAACCCTGTACTGCAGTTTTGGCATGACTTTGGAAGGGGGAGGAAATTTAGAGGAGAGAGTAGGATACAAAATATGAGAAATTCAGTGTGAGAGGGACACAACTGGAGAAGAACCCCATGTAGTTAAAAACATCACCCCTACCCTCAGTTAGGGTTCATTAGAAAAATACCTTGATACTGATTCCATTTCTGCAAAGGGGAGTGTAGCCAAATGCTGCAGTGCAATATGGGGATGTGAAAATTTTAGAAACTTTAGAAATGATCTGAAGTAAGAGCTCCCTGGTTGAAGCTATTCCTAGTTAATGGCTAGAGGCATAGATGTCTTAGGAGCATTACTTAAATTGGTAAGTCAGTTCACTACTAGAAGTTTCAGTGCATGCAAATAGTTGAGACAAGATGAATTCCCACAGAGTTCGTTGGGTTAGCATTTGCTGTCAAAAGGGCTGAATTTGGTCTTTGGTTTTTCAGAAGTGTGTGTGTGTGTTCGTGAAGTTGCTGGTCTGTTAAACAATTTATTCACGTCAGGGAAGGATTCTGTAGAGAAGCTTTGTATCTTTTAAACTTAGAGCACAGTCACTTTTAAAGCGTGTTTAAAAATATGACTCAGTTGTCAGCATAAAATGTGCATAATTCAGATAGACACAAGTGGGCAGAATGGCAGCTTGCTGCGTAGGGTACAAGTATTCAGCTCTGTATTCTCCAGTGTATTGAGGCTCAGTGGATTAGACATGGGCTTTACAGAATGCTTACAAACAGACAAACCCTCTTACGTTTTATATACTACTAAATTCTAAAATTGAATATGTAGTCTTTATTAATGTAGATTTGAATTTTAAGAAAGTGTTGTCTTTGCTAGACCCCAATTATTGGGAATAAGTATGGTGATCAACACAGTGCAGCTGGTAGAAATGGGAAGCCAAAAGTCATTGCTGTCACCCGGAGCACTTCTTCAACTTCATCAGGCTCCAATTCAAATGCACTAGTTCCTGTCAGCTGGAAGAGACCACAGCTATCTCAGGTACATTGTGTCTCAAACACTTTATACATGTACTAGAGACAGTGTTTTTGAATGTATTAGAATAGTATTTTTTGAACTGTAATTTGAAATCTATATTGTGTCTTAGCAAACCAGTAAATGAATACACCATGAACTAAAAGCTAATAAAAGAAAAAATTATAACGTTCTTTTCAGAGGATGTCAGCGTACAGTATGACTAGTTTGAATTGCAGATGTTTTATATTTTTACCTGGACCCCACCATGCTATGTGTTTTTCTTTGGTATATTTTTCAGAGGAGGACTAGGGAGAAGCTAATGAATGTGCTTTCTCTGTGTGGTCCAGAATCTGGACTTCCCAAGAATCCTTCGGTAAGTGGTGGTGGTGATTTGTTTTGGTTTTTAAACTTGAGTAGTGGAATGCTATTGCATTTTTAGGTGTTGATGAAGTTCTGAACAGTGGGTTTGGACAAACTGGGTTTGGTTCAGCAAAAAAGAGATGGAATGATAAGTGTTGCTTTACTATTATTCCTCAGGAAGTCCAGTGGGCACTGTTCTTTATTAGACAGGCATCAAAACAGTATTTAAATTCAGCCAAAACTAATGTTGCTGTCTCAGTGAATTTAGGTCAGTCTTCCGAGGGTAGGACTGTTATGTTTTAAAACAAAAGTAAATGATTAGGGTGAATTCTTTATTTTTATCTTATGTGGTTATCGAAACAAGATAATTTTTTTCGTAGTCCTTTTATGAGCCTCTTTCCTCTTCAACTTAAATTAGTTGACTGCTAAGGAGCTCTGTTGATCAGACTAATCCTTAATACTTCTGCACAGAGGAGCAGGACTACACTGCCACTCCAGAATAATAATAATATAATGTAATAATAATGTATGTTTGACATTGCACATATTAATTTTAATTGTCTTGGTTAGAAAAGAGGATTGAACTTGGTCTCCCCTGTTCTGTCTAAATCTCTGTCTAGCCCATTATAAATAACATGGGTATTTGAGAGAAGGGGCAGCAGTGGCTGAGGACTGCAAGGGTATTATTGCCGTATTGAAAATATAGAATCCATTGAAAATAACCAGTGGATCATATACCTTCAAACTAACATGGATATCAATAGGAACTATAGTTGTAACTGTTGAATAGAAATAGGTCAGAGTTGTTACTTGTGTGTACAGCAATGTAAAGAACCACACTGTGTACTACACTTGATGGTGGTGATGACATTAAGAGCTTTTAAAATTGAGTCACTTACCTTGGTTATCATGTAGATCATATTTTTTTATTGTTACATAGAAGTTTGTAGCTGGGGATAAATATTGGTGGGTGGAGGATCTTTAATCTAGTGGAGGAAGTTAAAATAAATAAAATGAGACACCTGAAAGCTGAAACTGAAGAGATTTAAAAATATTGCATGGAAATAAGCAGAAGATTGTAATTTGTTAAGATTATCATCACTGGAGGCCAGCACTGGATCCCTTCTAAAGGTATACAGTCCTTCCACAGAAATTTCTAGGTGTCGTGTGGGTGATACTATGATGAACTTTTTTGTTATTAGATTTGAGTGATAGCGTGGTTACGAAAATTAAGGTTGGAGGAAATATTTTTCTCTTTATTTATACCTTTGTAACTCTTAGTTACATGAAGGAGGGAACAAACTCCTAGTTTAAAATCCAACTAGTTTTGAAACAAATTGCATTCTGCACTTGCCCTAGTATTATCATTAGTACTATGTTGTTACACACACTGGCTGCCACTAATGCTATTAAAATAGCAGGAAGCAGGATAGATTACTTGGAATTACAGAAATTGGAAGGGTTTTTTTCTATTTTTACCTATATCTGCAGGTCGTGTTTTCTTCTAATGAAGACTTGGAAGTTGGAGATCAACAAACGAGTCTAATTTCAGCAACAGAAGAAGTGATTCAAGAGGAGGAAGTGGCTGTAGAAGACAATACTAGTGAACAACAATTTGGAGTTTTTAAAGACTTTGACTTTTTAGATGTTGAATTGGAAGATGCAGAGGTGAGACCTTGGGGTTTCTTCTGTGTGTTTCCATTTGAGAACATTCTGAAAATAAGGTTGTGTTGGTGCAATTCTAAGGAATTGGCAGCTCTACTAACTAATCCAGTTCGGAAGAATTTATGACATGATTGAACTTAACTAGATAAAGATACCTGTGTCACAAACTTTGCAATGTTAAGTAGTTGCAAATCGTTGGGTGGTTTTTGGGGGAAGAGATGAAATTTTAGGTGGGGGAGTTAAGTGATTTGACATCTGAAAGTGAAGTGATACGGCAATATAAGGCAATGACAGGGTGAACACCTGGGTATAGTGCAGTAGAAAACTTAATTATGGAAGAGTATGTTAAGAAAATGGCATAGTCTTTGTTCCTGGGATGTTTCTGGATTTTGAAAATGTGACAAAAGGCTTTCAAAGCGATAAATTGTATATGAAGTGTATACACTATCTCATTATATACAGTTGACTTGCTTGCTATAATTGCTTGCATTGACTTTTACATTATATCTGGTTTATTGCAGTTCTTGCATTTCCTCCATTTCTCCTCCTGTCAAAAAGAGAGAGGGGAGGTAAACCAAAATTAAGTATTGAGAAATAGTAAAGATTCTGTTAACAAATGTTATTTGTTTGGGATAAATAAAAGGCTTCAGACCAGAATTTGCTGAAGTTTTAAAGTATGACTGTAAAAGGACTGGGGAGGAAAAATCAAATCCTTTGTAGTTTCTTGCAGTGATTTTGTTAAGTCTCTGCAAAACACTGAATTGTAATGGAGACCCTTGCTGGTCATGAGTCCACAAGTTACTAAGAATATCCACCTATCTAAACACTGGTTGCTCTTCTGATTTATCTAGCCCTTTTTACAAAATCCTGCAGTTTTCCCCCTAATACTTTAGTTATATCTCACTTTGTTCCTGATTCCTATGTATTGCTTCACTTCAGCCAGTATTTGTACCTTCTAGGAAAAGCACAGGCTCAATATGGTCTATTGCATAGATGTAACCACACACTATACAATTTCCTGTATTGAATACAGGTAGTCAAACAGTTCAGAATTGAGGCTCAGTAGTAGTAAAACATTATTTTAACACTAGTCAGGACTTTGCAGGTAGGATGCCAAAAGCTGAAAACTTTGCCAAACCAGTGTAATCTTTAACTTCATTTTCTGTGTTATTTTAATAGCTGATCATAATTAAGGAAAGACAGTTTCTTTCTTATTACTTGCCTGCATGCAACATGTAGTGCTGTATTTCAGAATAAAATTTAAAAGCAGAGATTATACAAATTTAGGGTGTGACATATAAATTGTGCACTTAATAGAAGAGCTGCCTAGTTTTGCACCAAAAAATACAGAATGTTCTTTGTTGCTAATAATTCAATGTCAACAGTCTGAATGAGGGCTTTTACATTAAAATCTGAGTAATATTCAGATTAAACTGAAATGCTTCAGCCTACAGTAGTACTACTTTGTTGTAGCTGGAATTCTTTTGCTGTGCCATAACTTTTCCTACCTTTTTTTTGAGCAAAAGAAATCACTAAGAGATAGAGAGTACAAAATGTTTAATTTGCTTTGCATATTTAATGCATCATGGTGATCTCTTAAAGCTGCCACAAGAGATACTCTGTTAGGCCAGTTTTGGAACCACATTTGGGGCTAGATGTGGTGTTGTAGTAGCTGTCTGTAGACTGGTGAAGTGAACTTAGCAGGTTTTACATGTTACTTAGATGAATTGTTGAAGGTTGACAAAATGCTTGAGAAAATCAAAGATCGTTATTATATTTGTGAATTCAAACAATAGTGGTTTTAAGATAGAGATTTCAGTTAGTATGATGGATGTTTGAAACCCACGTATCTCAGCTTTAAAATGTGAAAAAGGAATGGATCCAGCTCTAGGTGTTCAGGGTGCACATCACAAAACTGACACAAAGTAGCTGGTAAAGCAGTTAATGACATCTCTTCTACACCCTGTATGTAATTAATGTTGATGGTGCTTTGTCAGTTGGATGTGGTCAGTATAGATTCATGTGTGTTAGTTAAAGAATTTCATCAATGTTTGTTGAAGCAGTTGCTTTACATGTTACACTAAAGGAAATGTATCATGAGCATGCTGGTTTGAGTGTTTTGTCGTCAGTTTGTTCATTTTTTTTTTTTAAATCAACCTCCCATTAGAAAGAGACATTATTTTTAATACTAGCTTTTTGATTAAAGCTTTTTTTCAGAGCTTGAATCAGTCTTTTACTGTTGGCAAATCTTATGTAATAAAACATTTTTCCCTGGTTCTAGAGTATCTTTAAGTGTTTGTCCTCGTTCTTTCTAATTATATGTGTTTTCCTTTTTGCTAACCAGGAGCTGCAGGTAAGTTGCAGCCTGGTGCCCTGGCTTGTTCATCTGTTGTTGTCTGTGATGTGTTTGTACTTTCTAGTCAGATTATTAAATCAATACTGATATAGTTCTAGATTACATATTGAGTTACTTTCCAAGAAGCTATTCCAAAGATTTCTACTTCATTTGCCATATCTTTTAATTTATTTACAAACATTTAACAAGGTATTTAAAATTTGAATAAAATTAAAGGGCTGATTGAAACTCTGTTCACAACACATTTGGTACTTGTGTTTTCTCTGTTGCATTTTGTGTAATAATTTTCTTATGTGGAAATTCATACATACATATGTGTGCAAACTATTATTTATTACAGGGTGAAAGCATGGACAACTTCAACTGGGGCGTTCGTAGACGCTCTCTTGACAGTATTGACAAAGGAGACACACCATCCCTTCAGGAATGTCAGTACTCTGGTAGCACACCCAGCTTGAACTTGACCAACCAGGAAGATACTGATGAGTCTTCAGAAGAAGAAGCAGCACTGACTGCAAGTCAGATACTGTCTCGTTCACAGATGGTGAGTTATCTTCCCGCGAAAGGAATCGGAGAACTTGAAGCTTTCCCTTGCATGTGGAATGGATAAACATGGCTCCCACTTCCAGCCTAAGTAATGAGGAACTAAAATTAATGTGGCTAAGCTTTCTGTTCATAACAACACCAATGAATGGAAAAACTTAACCACATTGGTGATACTCAACAGATTCTAGTACAACATTCTTTTTTTTTTTTTTTAGCATCTTTACACTTACTGTGTTTATTTAAATAGAAGCACAGAATTGCATGTCTTATATATACCTGTGTCTTCATGGATTCCTTGCTCAAAAAAACCCCTATATGCTAAACAAGAACAAGAATAGTAAGTGTTGCTGTGGGAGTCTAAGTTGTGTTTAACCAACGAAATTGCTAATGGAATTATGGATTTTGAAGCATGTGTACATATAAGGGAGGAAAATCAAGAATGCTAGCCACTCAGAAGTCTCTGCATCACATATATTAAATTAAGAAAAAACTGACTTGATGGGGAGCAGCTTGATGGGTATGTTGCTTGTCAGACCTCAGGGAAAGTTTGTGTTAATGCTGCCTCCAATAAAGAACTCTGCTTTCCAGTGGTTTCAGTCTAGCATTTATCCAGTGCCAAAAACCTTTAAGAACAAGAAAGGAAATTATTTTTCTTATAGGAAAAACTTCTTTTCAAGTGTTACAGAAATACATGTGATGCTTGTAATGGTTTTAGTGTAAAGCTGTTTAATTCATAATATGTAATTAAATTCAAATAGCTAATGATACCAAAACAGCCTATTTCAAAACTGTTATGTTTTTTCCCTGTAATTTTTATGTTTCATAAGCTGTGAAGAATTTCATGTTTCTTTCTTTTCAGTTAATCAGTGATTCTACCATAGATGAAACAGTATCAGATCATGCTGGTTTATCACTTCAGTCTCAAGACTCCACTAGCAGTGTGGGAACAGAAGAGGTGCTTCAAATCAGAACTGAGACCCCCAGTTTGGAGGCTTCTTCTCTAGATAACTCTAGCAACCAGCTGCCTGAGGTGGGGAGAAATGTGGGCTGGTGCATGGCTGATTTGGGCTCCTTCTAGTTTTAGTAGCAACTTTGGCTTCCTTTTCAAATGAATTTTCATCTGTTACACTGATTAGTTGATTTGCTTTTAATATTTCTAACCTGTTGGCCTGTACTTAGGAAGTGTTCCCTCAGTATGAAGCCTACTTGGGATGGACTGAGGGAACTTACCACAGGTTAAAAATATTCTCAAAGGGCTGACAATGATCAATTCATGGCGCAGAATAAAAATAGGCCAATATTCAAGATGCTTTTACTTGATGTGGTTGAAATCCTTCTTGAGCAACATTTTCTTTCAAATACTTCTTAATTTCCCTCCCCCACCTTTTTGGGTGGGTTTTTTTTGTTGGTTTTTTTGTTTGTTTGTTTTTTTTTTGTTTGTTTGTTTGTTTTTTTGGTTTTTTTTTGTTTTTTGTTTTGTTTTGTTTTGTTTTGGTTTTTCTGGTGCCTTGGTTTTTTTGCTTTCTTTGGGTTAATGTGATTGGTGCTATATGGGAATAAAACCTCAGGCCAGCTGTGTTAGCAGTTGGTTCCATTAAATAATCCTTTAAAAAGGACTACAAATGCTAGTGGTATACTTTTTTGGAAAGGCCCATGTGGACTGAGACAGATTTCAAGCTAATGACCGTCTGCACATCTGTGAGTACTTGAGTTTATTGTTTTTTAAAACTTCTGAATCATTTAAAATTTTTAAAACCCCACTAATAATTTTTCTGGAATTTGAATACATCTGCTACAATTTTTCTGGAATTTGAAGTGGCTTCATTTAGATGGAATTTTATCTCTTTGGTTAAAATTATTTATGCTACTGGCAATCTTATTTTTATTTGGATAAGCATTGCTAACCCCATCTTTAACAACACATGCAGTTTTATTGAGTTTTCCAGAAAACTAAGCCATTCCTATGTGCATTTGAATAACCAGTGCACAGTTTACACCTAAGAATGAGTCTTCAGCCAGTTTGGTTTAACCAGTCTACTGACTGGTCAAGTGACTGGGTTTCTAAACAAAGGCTCTGGTTTACCTGTTTGCTAGCTAGACAAATCACTCCTAGTAATAGGCAGACCACACACATCTAATATTTCATGAAGAAAACTGTAAGAGCAGAAGACTTGTTTAGAATACAATAAATGGAAAGTGACTGGTTTCCTGTGATAAAATCCTCACCTTTTAAAGATGTAGTATTCTGAATTTCACAAACTGCTTTTCTCCACATTGTTCATATTTTCTGATTATGATTATGTGCCTTTTTTTTAAAGTGTTTTATTACATTGGAGTTGATAAATCATCTCAATTGTTGTAGAACACCTGTGCTTAGATTGTCAAACAAATTGTCTTCGTTTCATGTGTCTACAACTTGTGGTTTTGATCCAGTAGAATTCTGAGTGAGGAAGAACATTTAATCTGGATGGATTTTTTCCACATAGGATAGATGTTTCATGTTGAGATTTCAGAAGCACGAAGCAATATATATGCTGGGATTTTATAGAATGAAATTCACCACAATAGGACTTTTGCCTTCCCCATTGTTTGCTTATGGTACATTCTCAGCTGGGACTCATTGTTACATTTTCCAAGACTGCCTTTAGGATTCATAGACAACTCTTTCAACATAAGCCTTTCATTGCATGCCAGCTGTCAGTTAGCAAAGTGGTTTTAATATAAATAAATATGTATCAAAATTTAACTAAGGCAACATCAAAAAAACGAAGCCATTATTTAGAGCCAAGAGTGTGCTGGTTAGATGTTGAGTTCAGTTCCTTGTTTCTCTGGGAGGGATCCTGAAGAGTTAAGTGAAGAGTTTACTTAAATGTATTTGGCTGATTCCCAGTAGCAGAATTTATCTTTGCAAAAAGACATTTCACATTCTGGTTGGGAATTTACAGTCGGGCTTACAAGAATATTTTTAATTTTGTACAATATGTTTTACAAGCTTAAGTATATGAAGGTTTCTGATTAAAGTGGTCCTCTGTTTTGCTCACTTGCGCTGTAGATTTATGAGGGAATGGTTTACTAGAAGTAATTTTCCTAAGGTTCTGTGGCCTTGTTAACTATATAACTATATGAATCACCTTTTTAACATACTTAAAGAACATTCACGTTGGTAGTAAAGTCATGTCGAATGATACACAGAAAACTTCAGAAATGAGAAGTCATGGCACAATGAAGACTAACTTAGAAGTACATTTATGAACTAGTAATTAGCATATTTTCTAAAAGCATATCCCTCGTATGTACATCTGCCAGTCATGGTTAGTGCAGCTCTGTGTCATACGTTATCATCCGTAACAGCAATGGACCATTGGTTCAATCCAGATTATTTTGCTGTGGTGTTGGAAAAGTGTCCTGTGTTCCTGTGTGCCTTAGCTCAGTGGCACAAAATGTCTGTTCTGTGCAATAAAATTCCAGATTTAACTTCCACAAAAGAGGCACTAGAAGTGCCTCACCTTGAGGAGTACCACAGTCAAAGTGAGATATGGTTAGGATCAGTGTGACAGAAAATTATTATATGGTTCCATTTAAAGCCGAAGTGTCTCATCTAATACATGTGCAGTTATCTGATCTGTCAGAGGATCTGTTTTGAGTGCTGAAAGCCATGAAGTGCTGTGTATGCTTGCTTAGAGGCTGTCCAAAGGTTTGTTGACCAGCCTTGAATATGCCAGTAGAGGAAGACCAGCACACTAAGAATGGAAATATGTGATAATTTGTGCCTTTAGGAAATAGCAAGTGTTATTTTTATTCCACAGAGGAATCCATAAAAGGTTTCAAATGAATTCATCATAATTAACTAAATTCAAATCCCTCCATTCAGTACAGCAATGTTAATGAATATAATAATGCTAATGGAGGAAGAGGGAAGGGTCATTCTCATATCAGCTACCTGAGTTTAATCATCCTCTCTTTGTAATTGCCAGGGATTGAAAGCTTACATTTAGAGAGTCAGGGTTAAGACCCTTAAAGCTGCCCATATCAGCAGTAATGGAAAAATTACAAAAACCGTGGAACGTTCCTTTTCCATTGTTTGTCTATTACACTGTTGCTCAGTAGTTACGCTTTGGAAAGTTGTTACAATGGAGAGTGGGAAGGACAAGAAATGTTCTGTGCTGCTTCTAGACCCCAAAGGCAAGCACAAGATCCTTATCTAGAAAAGTAAACCCCAAAAATCTTGGTTGTGTTTGATCTCAATATGTTTGAGGCTGTTTGCAGATATTTTTCTGTCAGTATTCTGTTAACAGATGTAATTGAGTATATTTGAGAGATTGTTTGCTCTAAATAAGTCACATTCTAGGATATTAATGTTTACCAGAAGTTACAAGCATTACTAATAGACTGCCTGTCTTTGCTCCAGTAAAACTGCATGAGCAAGCCAAAGAGCTGAGTAAAGTCTAGATGGATATTTGTAAACAATTTTTATAACCATTAATTTACCATAACAAAAACTGATTAGAATGCATAAGCCCTGACAATAAAAGTAATAAAGGCCTGTGTGATTCACAGGAAGGCAGTTCAGCAGTACGGGATGAACAGATCAGCACTGCTAGTGAAGACACTGGGTCATATCTGCTACATGAACAACAAGACTGTCTGGTCTGTCAGGAATCTCTGGAGTTGGAAGAGACCCCAGAACTCGTGGAAGCAGCAGCTCCTGAAAGCTATTCTGAATCTGTCTGTGAAGAGGATGTCACTCTTGCTTTGAAAGAACTAGATGAGAGATGTGAAGAAGAAGAAGCTGACTTCTCTGGTCTGTCCAGGTAAGAGTAATATTGGTTACAAGTTACAGAGATTACATGTTATTGGTGCGTGAATCAAAGTAGGTTTTCTTACGGTGTGGAGTTCTCCATTAATCCCATAATACAAGAATATGCTGTGGAGAACATAAAATGATGGTTTACATATCTGAAATAATGGTTGGTTGGTTGGTTTTGCCTGTTATAGCAAATAAACTCAATACTTTGCTCAACAATTGTTTCTGGTGCAGGGAAAACAGCTGTGCAGGAAAATATGAGAATTCTGCAATAGAAGAAATTTAGCACTTTTCATGACCATCAATAGGACAGAAATGTGAAAAGAGGTCAGAGGTGGGTTAGGAGTATTTTCTTAGCAGGCACTAGCTGCAAGCAGTATAACATGGAAAAGCCCTTGAACTGCTCTGAATTATGGAGTACCCAAAGAGAGGAAAAAAAATACATTTTTTTTTTAAAAATAAACGCTCCTGTAGAAGTCAGGTCAGTTTGTCTTTGAATTTGCCCAAAGTTTATTTTCATTGTTAAAACTTTTTTCAGTCTCTTCTATATTTCTAAGACATTCTAAGGTAAAAGAATGTTTTTCTATTTTAATATGGAGAGCAAAAGTAACTGTTGAGAGGAAGAGTTAAAGTTAGTCCTAGCTGTTGAGTCATATTTAAAGTGAAACTCTGAAGTCCCTTTTGATGGTAACAGTCCAAGAAGTAGGGAAAATGAATAAGAAATGACAAACAAATAAAAACTGCAAATCAAAACCAAAAAAATTGTTCATAGGCTTGTTCATATTTAAAATTTGTTCAGAGGTTTAGGTTGAATAATGCACAGACTTGGTGTATATAGGGACATAGGCTTAGGATATATTCTGTCATAGAGATCACTTAAGGAGTCTTTTACAGAAAAGTAGGACATGTAGAAGACCAAGTTGTTTGAGAAGGTTCTGTTGGGACAGAGACATTGAATCTTGTGATCCAATACACAACCAACTGCAATGTGCCTTGCAAGAATTAAAGGCTGGTACTGATTAAGAGCAGTTTATTTCCTCATGTGCAACTGAAAAAATCTCTTAAAGTTTTATTTTATTCACACAAAGCCAGCAAATGAAAAACCCCATAGCTCTAGTTGGAAGACTGACAGAGGTGATTATTTATAGGGTTGATACACTAGGTAGAAAATATGTGAAAATCTTTTTGAAGCTTTGCTTACAGGTGATAATCAAAAGAGCTGCATCTTAGCTTTTTGAGCTTTGTGCTACAAAAATGAATGGATCTAAAAACAGCACTCACACTTCTTGTTTAAGATATACTTAGTGCAGCTGTGACTGAGGTAGTTATAGAGAAAAACTATGTGTTTTAAAAGATTATTTTAATAAACTGCATACTTGGAATCCTCCTACACCTATTTTTGCTGAGTAAGTATAGTTACACGAGAAGAAATGTCAAAATGTATTATACCTTGTAATACAAAAAAGTTAAATGAATCATTAAGTTAATGATTGTAAGTAGTAGCATTGATTAATTTATAGTTTTATATTTTTATTGGGTGCATGGTGCTTAATGGAAGGTATGACAGCAGAATGCTCTTTGAACAAGGGCCCATTAAACTGATTGCCCATAAAAATGAAAGAGTTTCGATCTATCTCCATTGCTTATGTTACTTAAGACAGTTATAAAATGAGCTCTTGTGCTTCCTTTAAGGAAGGCTAACATTTGTTACAGATACTGGTGGGCCATCTGTTCAGATGAATGTAAGTTTGAAGAATTGAATGTTAATCCAGTTACTAGGGATATGAAAAAAAATGCCAGTTTGAGTGGGGTGTGTGTGTATATGTCTATTGCTGTGTATAGCTATATATAACCTACAGAGAGCCCTTTGTCTGTAGCTATACAGAGAACTGACATGTTTTAATAAACTTTGGAAGTATTTGAGAGTATAAGCAATGTTTATATTTCAGTAGCCAAAATTTCTGATTGTTTCCTCTTTTCTTGGTTCAGTTACCTTAGTTGATCCATTATTTATTTTACAAAATGCTATTCTGAATCCAAAATTCTAATTTTTTTCTTCTTACCAAAATGAAGAGGTTTTTTTTCCTAAAAACATTTGCTGAGGAGTTGATTTTTTTCTGTTGTTATTTGTAGCCAAGATGAAGAAGAGCAGGATGGTTTCCCAGAAGTACAGACTTCCCCACCTCCTTCCCCATTTCTTTCTGCCATATTGGCAGCTTTCCAGCCAGTGGCATATGATGATGAAGAGCAAGCCTGGCGCTGCCACGTCAATCAGATGCTGTCAGATACAGATGGATCTTGTGCTGTCTATACATTTCACGTCTTTTCAAGGTTGTTTCAGGTCAGTGAATTGTCAGTGCATAATTGCTTGTCTGAAATCCATTCCTCCTACTTTTGAAACTATTCTTCCCTTTGTAACTGCAAACGCCGCAAGATTATGGGAGCAAGAAGCCTGAGAAAGCAAATGGAAAGCAGACCAAAAAACCATGTTACTGAAAGAATGTTGCATTGTCATACACTGTTTATCCATGGGATATCTGCTGTATTCAGTGTCTAGGAATGATTCTGCTCAGGAAATAAGGAAAAAATATAAAAGGCTCCAAAAACCAGTTCAGTGTTTCTTGTAAGCTCTTAGTTCAGGCTGTGTTCCTTTTATTTTCTGAATGTCACCCAGTAATCTGTTGATTACAGAATTAATGTCTTCCTCCTGGGTTTTTTTTTGGAGTCATTATTATGGGATCGCAGCATGACGAACATTAATGAATTTATCTTGCATCTGTCTTGTAAGAGAAGTGTTTTTTCTGCAGAGAAGTAAGTAATTGCAACACCAGGAGATCCACTAAAGCTGGAAGTTTCAAATGCCTGTATTTAACTATATTTACATCATAGATCTGATATCCAACTCAAAATACCTCTGGTTTAATTTTTCTGGCTCACTCCTCCCTATATGCAGGGGATGGGTTTTTTTACATTTTCAAAGTAATGATTCTTTGCAATTCCTATGGGATAGGACAAGCATAATTAATCCATTTTATTTACAGGCAATGTGCCAAATGAGCTAAGAGCAGATTCAGGACTATAAACCAAGACCTTCTGACTCCAACCCTTTCTTCTATCTCTAGTATTAATTTTGCCTGCTGTTTTATATATCATAATAAATTTCTCAGTGAAAGCCCCACTCTAGCACATATTTCATCCCATATATATAGACAGGTTTAGAGTCAGTACTACAAAGTAACTTACATGAGAGGAATTCATACTTTTGCCATGGAATTACTTGGGGGTTTTGCATCTATGTCCATTTTCCATTTTTAGGTGAACCAAGTGTTTTGCCACAGTGCCATGAAATTCCTGTTACTGATTGTAGATTTTTGTCTTTTTGCTTCATCTAGACCTCAGGGATTTGGTTTCTCTGTATTATACTGAAGCACAGCAACAGTTGCTTTTCACACGTTCATTCATTTCCTGGAAGTGGTAAAACAAGAGTTCATATTCTCTTGTGTTCATTAAAAAGGGAGCTAGGAAGAAAGGTGAAACTTTCTGTGGCTTGACAGGATAGCCCTCAGGCAGCTGGAAGGGTGGATACTCCAGGAAAAATTGCAATAGCAGTCCAGATCAAGCATGGACAAAGTATTCCTGAGGAGTTGTTACTGGGTACAGAGGAGGGTTAAAAGTATTCAGTGAGACTCTGGAGGCCTTGTTCAACTGGACCTTTCCGTTTTGCCTTCTGGCACCTACACTGTGTTTAACTTTGCAGCTGAAAAGATAATCTTTATATAGTTTTATTCTACATGTAACTTGTAGGATTTATGAAATAATATACAGCCGAGCACAGTGTTACATTAGGCCAAGCTGACAGTCTGCATAATCAAATGTGATATACATAGGACTGATTTCTGAAGAAGGTAGAAACCCTGCAGGTGGCAGTTGTAGACACAGATTGTGCTACACAGGTCGTATGGCAACTGGTAAAACTCTGTGTATAATTTTCTGCAACACAAACACTTGAAAATGAATTGAACTATCTGCATTGCATAAAGATGAACAGTCATCGAGCTATACTGATGCTGAAGGTCTAGATGTGAAAGGAGTCATTGTCTTTATAGATACAGGCTGGTTTTATTGATTGATTGCATTTTCTGGAGCTAGTTTTGCATAAATACTCAGAGGAAATTAAGTATTAGTTTGTCATTTAATGAGCAAAGTGTATGCTGTCATGTTGGAAATTTTCTCTGAAATTCTCAATCAAAAAAGCCCAAAGAAATACAATGTAAAAGGAGTGTTTTTCTGATTTGATTTCTAGACCATTCAAAGAAAGTTTGTATCTATAACAAATGATTCTGTCAGCTTCCTTGGTGAAAGTCTACAGCGCATTGGAACAAAATTTAAAAGTTCTCTGGAAGTGATGATGTTATGTTCAGAATGTCCAACGGTCTTTGTGGATGCGGAAACGGTAAGATCTCAAACTTGAGCGTTGGAATACCTGTCTGCTTAAACATTTTCATCTAACATACAAAATGATGTTTTAACATGTGAAGGAAAAAAAAATCTTTATCATTGAAATCACAAAAGAATGAAAATGTCGAGTGGCCACTACATGTCATGAACATTTGAAAACACTAATGAGAAATGCATTTTCTCAAAAAATAACCTCCAGCTGTAACAGTGAACAGTGAGGGAACTTACTGATAGTAGATACCACTTAAATTCTGATACTATTCTTTACCCTCCCTGCTTGTTCATATTTATTCCTTATTCTCTGCACGGCTAAGAAAAAAGAATCCTAGTTATCTAGCAGCAACTTTGCCTTTTATATTGTGTTGTTTATGCATATATTCAGTGATGCGTGAGAGAAACATTCTTGCTACAAATAAACAATGAAGGCTTTGAATTGTTTTTGTTATGCAAGTTGAAATCTTGCTTATAATAAATACCAATATGAGAAGTCAGCTCAATGTTCAGCAGCAGTCAAAAAAACGCTCTGCTAGAATTATTAAGAAAAGAGACAGCAAAACAGGAAACATATCCCCAGTATACTTACATCCTGGATTCTGGGGGCAGTTCTGGTTCCCTGCTCTCAGAGGAAATGCAGTTGCGTGGGAAAATGTCCAAGAAAGATCACAGGGGTTATGAAATATGTGGAATGGCTTCCATATAAAATACGAGTATGAGAGAAGAGAAATCTGTCCATAGGTATCTTGATTATCAAGGATAAGTGATAGAAATTATTTTATTGCTGTCTTATTTGATGTTAAGGGTGATGAAACTAAGCTAGCAGTGACTTACAAAACATACAGAACTAAGATCCTTCATGTGATATATAATCAAACCATGAAACACTGTCAGTTTTTATAGTGTCTGTTCATGTTTTCAAAAAGTAACTGAAGAAATTCGTGAAAGAAACAGCCCTGGATAGATTTTGTGAACATGCAGAACAGCACATTGACAGAGGCTAAGAAAGCATTCTGGGGCAGGTGGATCACGTTTGCCTTTCTTTAGGCAACTGCCACTAGACATTGTCAGATGTGGGGCTGAGGTAGATTGATTTTTGGCCTTGACCCACTGTGAGACTCTTCTCCTGACCTGTTTTTTTTTGCCTTGGTGCTAAGAGGCAGCTCTGTTCTTGTGATCTCGCTTAAGAATAGGAGGACTAAAAAAGCATGACACAGATGGTGCATTTCAAGGAAACCACCTGTAATATTTTCTGCTTAACTTCTGCAGCTTTAAAAGCAGTAGAAATTAACCAAAAAAAGGAATTTGTATGATGAGATGCCACAAGAAGAGCTGCACTAGTGTCTAGCTAGAACAGTGTTTTTAAAAATAAATAAGTAAATATAAATACAAAGGAATCATAAACATAACACATATGCACACAAATATATAGACTTGTGTGTACGTGCATATGTATGCACATGCACACATTAGTGTTATTACATTGACAAATACTGTGTAAATAAATCTTTCTTCTCCAAATAATTTAATTGAAATGAACCTACTTGTCAGATTACTTCTCACTGATAAAGTACAGAGCTCTTAATGTGTGCAAGGGGTGACCACTGTGAGGGAGGAAGCATCATGTTAAAGGCATGTTTATTGCAGGAAGTGGCAGGAGAAGGATCAATAAGAGAAACCTAATTGAAAATAAAAATACAGGGTGAAATGCTTTTGGAATAAATCTGAGGTAGCGGCCCCTGAATGAAAAGGAGATTTTGAAACCATGGTAGTCATTAGTGGTAGAAAAATCTCCAAATATCCAACAGTTCCTGCTTTGACAGTTCCTGGTTGTACAGGCTGAAGAAGCCTTTTCTGGTGGGATAGTTTGTCTATTGAGAAGGGCAAGTTAATCCTCAGTGAATACTATTTAGGTTGCTACAGGAGCAATCCAGCAGCAGTACCTTTTTTCCTGCTACAGGCTGTTCTGTTTACACTAGTGGTGTGTGTATCAAATACTATTCTTTCTGCAAGATCTAAAAATTGCTTTGAAATCTCTCTTTCAGATGTTAACTAGGTACTGCTTTTACTTTGGAATTAAAACTGTTGTTCACTGATGCAACTGGTGCAGCTACATGTGTTAGTTCACCTACTCAGAGGTGTCACAAATGATCTCTACTCAACTAATTCTAATTTGTTTGCTTTCCCAAATGCAGACTTGGGATTTTGTATCATATAATTTAGATATCAGACTATATGGATTATGGTCAGATGTTACATGACTACAGAGGTGATTGCTTTTATCTTCCAGCTATTGTCCTGTGGCCTGTTAGAAACATTGAAGTTCAGTGTTCTAGAGCTCCAAGAACACTTGGATACCTATAATGTCAAAAGAGAGGCAGCAGAACAGGTGAGTCTTTTACATTTCAAACCAAAAGTATAAAACTTACTCATCAAGAGTAGGTATCTGAAAGTAAGCTGTGGAAAACGTCTCTGAAATAAAATCCTGTTTCCTTTTCTTACTACTATTCTATGTGTATAATCTGAACCTGTTTGTTTCTTATGTGTAATTAATTTTTGCTGCACATATTTCTGAAATTGAATATGCAACACTGCCCAAATCCACAAACACTGGGAAAACTGCATTCCTAATAAAAAATCCTCTTTTAAAAATATTCAAATATTTTTAACATTAATTTCAATAAATAGTGGTATTTTTTTTCTTTAGGAGCATTCTGGCTTATTCATTAGACTTGAAGGATGTGGGATTCACTTCAGATTGACATTTACAGGTCACTCTCTATATGGGAATTAAGTGCCTTGACACCCATAATATTCAAGGATCAGGTCAATACAATAAAAGAAATCAAGAGAGCAATGCATTTTGTCCTAATGTAGATGCTGACTTGTTGCCCTCTGATGGCTGGATCTCCACTGACAGTACTGAGGACTTACACAGCTGTATCATACATAGATGCATAAATTTAGGGCTCATCTTGCAGCTGGATCTCATTGAGGCTGATGTTTGTGTCAGTTGTGTAGAATTATGAGGTTTAGTTTTCAAGGTAAATGCTAGTGGCTATACCCTTTGTCAAAGAAATGCAAAACTTAAAAGTTGAATATTTCTGTAGCAAGGATCTGTACATTTGGTTTTGTGAACTTTTGAGTGAAGTTCAGAAAGTAAGATGCTAACTTCAGAAAACTGAAACAGGTAAGGTTTATATTTCAAGGGCCAAAAGGAAACATGGATCTATAATCAGTTTTGGAAATAGAGGGAGAGAGAGAGACTATCTATATGGGGCTTTTGTTGTAGAGAGAGAATGATTCCGAAGAAAATGGAACATGCTGAATTTTACCATCTCAGCATCCTGTGAGACCATGACAGTGGCTGTAGAGGCAGGTTTGAGTGGTGTGAAACAGAACCAGAATTCAAGATGTGGTATCTTGGTAGAGCTGTATTTTGCAGCATGAGTGGCTCCATGTTTTCTTGATCAGGCAGAGTTTATTAGGAAGTTATGGCCTCTGCCTTGCAAGGATTGCTGATAGCTCACCTGTTGAATAGATTAGACATCCCCTTTTTCTTTGGAAAGGATCTCAAAAGCAGCACAGTTTCCTTGAAACCAATGCTGAAGTATGCCACACAGCATGGTTAATGTAGATAAACTGTTTCTAGGATCCAGGCCAGCATTTCTGCTAAAGAGTTGCTGCATTTTTTTTTGCCCTGCTCTGTGGTAATAACAATTTATTTGATCTAATATAATGAGCTACATTTTGCCATGTAGGCTTAATCAGAAACAAAGTACTCATCTAATGACTAAGATTATTTTACTCGATGTAATACTTAATGTCTGGCAATGTTCAGTGCGTAATGTCATCACTCCTATGAGAAAATCATGTATTTTATGCCTCATTTTAGAGAGCAGAACTGATAGCACAGAGAGGCTAACTGATTTGCCCCAGTTTGGTTGATTTGTCAAAGTGTGGTGAGTTAAAATCACATGCTTTGCAGTTAGCCATGAATTCACTAAACGTATTTTTAGCAGTTTTGCACTGCCACATATCATATTGACATAAATCCATGCTGAGGATGAAGAACTTCGTTGTATTTTATTTGACTAGATAAACAAATACAGGTATTAGTTCAATGGCCTCTGTCATTATATCATAGTGAAGGACTCTTGCTTTTCTGGAGTGGAACTGTCAAAAGGGACTCCAGTAACAAGTTTTTGTGGTCAGCCTGTCATCTGCCACAGCATTTATGAGTGACTGGAGCAGGACAAAGGTTCACAGGGTGACAGGAATTGTTCTGAAGTAACTGAGAGCATTTTGTCAGGGTTTTATTTTTATTTAGTCATTTGTAAATAGAAGCAGTACTGAGCTACTGGTCTTAGCTTTGACCAGTCCTCTCTGACTCTTGACAGCGTGTCTTTTAGATAATTTAGTGCATTATTTAAGTACTTATTGACCATGTTACTGTAGAAGTAGTAACTAATAATATCAGGTAATTTACTTTTCTAAAACTTTTTAAAAAGTATTTAGCTGTTGGTGTGTGTATTACATAGTATATGTAGACCGAGAATCTTCCAAAGCTACTTCTTAGATATGTTTTATTGGTTTTCTTACTCTGTCCTCTCAGAGTATAGGCAATGATTGAATGAGACTTCCCCAAGTAAAAATTTCTGTTGTTGCAGGCAATTGTGCTGTGTATCCTGTTCAGTCTGAAAGTATTAAGGCAAAATGCTTAATGAGTTTATTGCAGATCCTTGCTTTTTTTTCATAGGAGCATGCAGAAAAATGATCAAACTCAGTGGTTGGGTTCTTGTATAATAAACATAAATTAACATATATTTAAATAAGTGTTATTTGCATGTATCCTCTAGAACCAACCACTGGAAAATTCTGTACATTACCTCCTTTTATGAAAAACTGTTATTGAAAGTTTACCCTGATAGATGATGTTTGTCACTATCAGTGCTGTGTGGGCTGCAGTTGCTTGAAACTCTTACCTAGGTACCAGGATAAGACAGAAAGGTACCTGTAGTACTGGCGGTGGTTTAGCATGTCTGTCTAGGGGTTAATCTTGCAAATCAACCTGTGCTATGATCAAGACCAACCCCAGTTATGCTTTCAGCAACACTTCACCCTATATCTTTGTAGGAGATGTATGAGGAAATCATAAATTGATGTAAAGCAAGCATATAAAGAAGGTTATTTTGTCACACAATCTACTGTTGTTCCCAAAGAGAAAACTTAGGTCTTTTTACCATGCTGAACATATATTCTGTAAAAATTCTTAGCAAATTAATATTGTTACCTTTTTGGACCTTTTGTTCTCTTTCCTTGCAAGGAAACTGCTTTGACTTCACCTGGGTATTAGAGGCAAAGATACACTGCATCAGATAAATGTAACAGAGAATATGAGGTGATGCATAGCGTTCTAGGCACACCCTTTATTCAGGACTGGTTTTCAGATTTAAAGATCTTAAAAGGGCAGTGTGTGAAAATAAATACTAGCTTCCCAGCTGCTGATGCTGTTTGTTCCAGTGCAAACCTATTCCATTGTTACCGATGGATGCTGTCAGATAAAAAGAAAAATGAGATTTGCTGTGTACATTGGTATCTATGGCACTAATTGAAACTGACACCACAGTGTTTAGAGAATTCCATTTCTCCTCTTGATAAGCACACAGGCCTAGTTAATTCACTAAGTAACCTTTATTAAATTGAGCAGATGGCAAATCACATTTTTCTTTTTCTTGCATCAGACAAAGGTTAGAAAAAGGTCACTAAGATTTCCTCTGAGACTCAAGATACCAAGCATGCAGTATGCTAAATTGTTCTTCCTTGGATGTATAGAGCCTGTTCCTCATTTCAGAAGATATTCTGTGCTTTAGCTCGACATGATATATTCTCATTTCAGTAATACCCAATTACCTCATGCTTGCACTTGTTTGCACTGTACAGAAAAATATGCTGGACACTGTCAGTGAAGTGATCAGTTTGTTTTGTCCAACAAGAACATATTTGATTCTCTAAATGCTTTACAGTAACACTGATATTCGTGTGAATGCCAGTACCATGGAAGTTGTTTTATGAGAAATTGTGTGGTTGGTTAAAGCTAAAAGAAGTGATTGCCCACTGAAATTAATACCCTTGTTGTCTGCTATAGGAACTGGGGTTAAATACAGCCCTGCATGTTTGCATTGTGTAAGGCAAGAATACTCCTTGGCTTGTATGAACTGGAGGTGATGCTGAAGTCACACTGGAGAATTTGATTTTTTTTTTCCATCCAGTAAACCTGCACTTGCATCTGCTTACACAGGAGAGCTCTACTCACTTCTGTTTCTAAAGCAGTCCCAAGAAATACCATAGGCTTACGTTAACTCTCTAATGTGAATTATTGCTGTATTTTAAATGCTGTTAAATCATGTGGGTGTAAACCTTGTGCAGCAAATGATCTCCTGTAATAAAATGGATGTTTCTGCCTCCACCCTCCCACACATCTCACTGTAACAGTATCCAAATTCAGTCATCCATTAGTATTTACGCTGCAGTGCACTATCCCCACCTTGGGTAGTGAAGGCTACAGGAAATTCACAACAGAAGGGACACTAAAAACTAGAAAGTGATACATCAGAGTGGATATCATTACTGCAAACAACACTGGTAAACAAGTGATTTCATGTCACAATTTCTTATGTAATCTGGAGAATGTGCAGGACTTGAAGCAATGTCTTACCTAGTTTTAGCACAGTCTTCAGTTTGCTCTGTTTCAGAAGATGTTTAATCTCGTTTGTATTTATTTTGCAGTGGCTAGAAGACTGCAAAAGAACATTTGGTACTGATGATGGTATTCATGGCACTAACACAGATGCCCAGGTATGTCATTTGTGAGTCTCTAGATATGAGATTAAAAAAAAATAAATTATATTGAACAAAATTCCAATATTTTCAGATAGATTAAAAATGTCTGAAAAGCTTTTCATTTCAGTTATCATCCTATCTTTTGTAAACTCATGAAGTGGTAGTCTAATAAAAATGGGTCTTTTTAATAAAAACTGGGGACCTGTCTTGGGTTCTAGACTTAATAACACTGAGTAGATAAGCAGACTAGATACCATCTGTGTACCACCAAGTCTGCTTTTCTGCAGCTGTTTCTGGAAAAAAGAAAAGATTAGCATTCTAGTTATATGCTCAGATAAACTGTCTAGACAGAAACCTCTACTGAATTTAATATAATTAGTACTATATATATACACTATACAAGACCTTTCCTGAGCCATTACAGAACGGGGAGTAAAGTAGCAGTATGGCAAAAAGCTCATGAAACACTTCTGTCAAAATATCATCTTAACAATAGGTGAAGTAACCTATTAATATTAAATTTTGTGTGTATTTGCATGGCAGTCATCCATGTTTAATATTACTAATGCTATAGTAAGTGATAGTTTTTCCCCAAGTGGACCAGGATTGGGTTTTTAAAATATTCTTTAATAGCTGCATAATATTGACACACGTGGTAAAAAAGCAAATCCAAAACCTGACATTAGTAGGTATGAGGAATCTGCCATCTAAAGTCCTGTAATAAGAACAGTGCGAGATGTAAGAAAGTAGAACTGCAGGTAGCAGGATGACCTTACCTTTTCACCATGACATTTTGACAAAAATCCCAAATCCAAGCTTAGAAAGGGGGAATTTTATTCCTTTTATTCAACTGAACTCTATATTCACTGGTGCACTTGGTCATCCTACTGTTGCTGGAAATGGAGTCATCAGCAACAGAAATGTCTGCAGTGTCCTTGGACTTTTATAGTTTTCTTTTGCTGTCATATATATCTGTTTGGGATTTTTAAGTTCAATCACAAACTGCACCTGAATTTTTAGAGTAGTGAAATATGTGATAATATACTGTTGATTTTTTATAATGCATTGAAGTTGCACATTTTAAAAAAAAATTTCACATGGATAAGCATAGATAATACAAATACAGCAAAATAATTTGCTGCCATTTGCAAGGACTTTTGCTTTGCCTATGAACACATAGTGTAGTGTAATTTACACTTGATTTACACCTTCGTATACTGACTGGTATGTGTTTAGAAATAGGGAACAACATTTACTAATACAATACAGTAAATGTTCTGCATATTAGTAAAAAAGCAGCATTTTAGTCTGTATTTATAATACTGTTTCTATACACCAAAAAACTGTTCTAACATTTAGCTGTTAGAACATAACCATTTTTACCATGAAGGTAAATGTTAGTGTTCCCACTGTCTAGCGAGGGAAACCAAGGCATGGAATAAAAGCAGTTTTTATGTGCTCCTTGTACTCACAGGTTCAGTCAAAATCATTTTAGTATGCATTGAGAAGGCAGAGTCCTCTTACCCTGCTTCATAAACATACACTCTTTACAGAAGTTCTAAATTTATTTGCAGAAGCTTATGGTGACTTGCAGGAGATTGAGAAGTTACCAAGTGTAAGGTCATTGTTTCAAAAGTCCTTGTAAATGGAGTGTGAGGCTGATAAGTTCTATGTAGTCAAGTAGTTAATGCTAAAAATGTCTCAGGAAAACATATTTTTCATTCACTAACACAAGATTTTCTCACTAATTTTTAGCACAGTGGTCAATAAGGAATAGTGAGATTAATTCAGTTCTGGCTTGTGCATTGCCAGAAGACTTGCAAGGAAATCTAATTATTCAGTTTTTGCTATTAGTACTTACACACAAGCCTGAAAGAATGCATCTGGACTCTGGCTAGACTGTCTACAGGACAGGCAGGTAGACAAATCAGATTATTTCTCAATGTATGTGAAAGACACTGAAGCAGTACAAAGCCATTTTGAAAGGAAATCTTCTCTTGAATTTTCAGAATAGCTATCAAGGTGTGATTTGGGGGAAAGGGATTAATTATGACTCACAATAATAATGAGACTTGGCTTTAAGAACACTGGAACTTAATGACTAAAATTATTAAACAGTTGTCCCTGCCATTTCTCAAAGTCTGATTCTCTGGGCTTCATTCAAGTGAGTCATCAAATCCATGTTAATTTCAGCAGTTCAAGACATTAAGTCTTCAGGGTTCTGTGCAGCAGAAGTTTTTTCTTACCTAATAATCGTGCTGTGCATCTAATAGCACAGAGTACGGAACAAAGCCATGCAATGTTCACAGCCTGTTGAGCACATAGTATATAACTTACTATGCACATTGTGTACAACTGTGCTTAGTAAAGATGAACTGCTTCTGTCTGTTGGAATCAGACATCAGTTGCATCTTTGTACGTTTTGCTCTCAGGCACATGGTATGATACTTGGGCCTGTCCTGTGCAGGGCCATGAGTTGGACTGTGATGATCCTAGTGGGTCCCTTTCAACTCAGGATATTCTGTGACCACTGTACCTGCTTAAATGCCATCAATACACTTAGTGCTGTACAAAGCTCAGAAGTGAAGTTCAGGTCCCAAGTCTAACTAATAAATTTTCTGGGAGTTTCTCTCCCTTTTCCAAATGTTTTTCTGAAACACCTTGTAGAAACCAAGTGCAATCACATTACAGAAATCTCTCAGAGGTGCTGAGAATTGAGTTTAGCAAAACCAAGAATTTTCTAAACTGATTCGGAATCCAAATTAACATCTCAGAAGTTAAAAGGTATTATTTTTGCTTCAAACTATGGTGGCACAGAACAAGTAAGAAGCATTGTACAGATGTCCAGATCATTGTTCAGATCTAAGTGTCCTTGGCTTTGATTACTTTAAATTTGTGTACCGTAAAGACTACGCAAGGGATAAAGACCAGACAGGGTTGTAAGTGAAGTCTGTTATGCTGTGGGACAACAAAGCCAATGCTGTCTATCTCTAGTTAGAGAAGCAAGCAATTTCACTTCAAATTCAGTCTGCTAACTTTTTACATTCAGGGTATGTTTGGAGCATGTTACTTGTATTTCTTCTTCCATTTTACTTGGGACGTCTTTTACTCTAATTAAAATGATTTCCTACACTAATTCTTGATCTTTCTCTTTCTTTGTATTTTTGTGACCTGCTCATCTTCTTGCTTAGCAAATGGAAATTCTAGCAGTAAGTGATGGTTCTTGATTTATCAAATACTTAACCATGCCAGTCACCAACCTGGTGTCCATTTGTGAAATAATGATGTCTTGTCATAGACTCTTACAGAAATGCTGTGTGCTTTAATTTTGCATCATCTAACCCATTGAACTGTTGGTCCTTTGTAGATAATAAAACACTGTAGTTAGTAGAACGTTATAGAAGATTATGCCATTAGCAGTTGCTTTGATGTCTGTCTGTAAAGGAGTATTAACACTGTCTCACTTATGACTAGTGTTTTAGATGCATAAAAATGGAAGCAAGACAGTGCATAAGTTAATGCTGCTGTTTCCTTGCCTTAAGAATATATCATGTGGTATTTTCTAAAATAGAATACAGGCTACCTTTTATAAAGGAAACATTTTTCTTGCCTCCAGGAATGGAATTATTCTCCTCTTACTCCATCAGGCAGTGTAAGCTAAGGGCCAGGTTATATACTATGCTTACAATATAAATATTAATGGTTATGAAAGATTCCATACTGACAGACCACAACTACTTCTTTGGGGTATTAGAGCTTGAATTTAAAACAGTAAAATACCAACAGTAAAAGTGATCTATGAAACTCTGTCTTGGAACATCACATTTCAGAATGCCTGTTGTATCACTTCCGTCCCACCCCACCCACCTTCTTGGAAATGTAACTTCTTATTATAAAGTAAACTTTAAATCTATGTGAGGGAGGCTACCTGTAAATCTGGAACTGAATGAAGCTTTAATCTGCTCTCCACTAGCTTCCTGCTATGCTAGCTTTGAAATCTTTCTGGCATTTTCTTTAGTAACCAAATAACTACTTGTAATTTTGCACATTCTATACCAAAGAAGTTGTCATTTATTGTCTCTTGTACTGGATAGTAGATGTTTGACAGTTCCTGAATATAATAGTGTTGCTTACATTTGTAGGAGCTGGAGTTGTGTCGGAGGCTATACAAGTTGCATTTCCAGCTGCTGCTTCTGTTCCAAGCCTATTGCAAACTCATCAGTCAAGTAAAAACAATCAAAAAAGAAGCAGAGGTAATGAAAACCATGCCATTTAGCTAGTAGTTGGTGACATTTTTCAAGACAAACAATTTAAAATACATTTTGGTAACATTTTTATCAGTGGGACATCTTTTTAGAAACTGGAGGAGGGTACCAGCTATTTTATAACCAATTAAAAGATTTAAGAAGAGCTCACAACAACTTTGAGATGTTCAATTATCTGTGTTGATTTTTGTACAGCTTGAAAGCTTCTAAATAGACAGGAACACAGGGAGTCCAGTGATGAGGATTTTATATATTTCAGTAGCACTTCTGGTGTATTCTAATCAAGCTCCAATCAAGGCACAGCAGCTCCACTCAACAGAGTTCTGTGCTGGAAGTCCCTTTCTATCACCCCTGTGTTTCCTGGGTTACCAGTCTCGCAGAGTTTGTCTTTAAGCTGCCCTTATAATAACACAATTGCTGCTGTACTCCTCTGAAGTGTTTAATTCTTCTAGCCAGTTTAATTGTGTAATGTAGGGAGAAAAGAAAATTATTCTTTGAAACAAATTTTAAAAGAACTAAGAGGGAAACTTCATCAGGGGAAAGCTCAAATACCTGACATGCACACTTGGGCCATTAAATTAACTGCAGCAAATCTTTGGATGTCCTTTTTCTGGTTTGCATTTATTATTGCAAAGAGGAGGAAAAACGTAAATCTGATCTGCTGAAAATTAATCTGGCTGAAAACGCATTTCAACTAGAAAAGGTAACTTATACTTGTTTTAGGTCATAAACATGTCTGAAGAACTTGCTCTTTTGGAGAGCTGCCTGAAAGAGGCCGAGGCTGTGTCTGACAGTGGTATTGAAGAAATTGAAATTGCAGAGGCTTCCCAAGCTAGCACAGAAACAGCTATTCACGCTCTCATTGAAACCCTGAGAAACAAGGAGTTTGTGTCAGCTGTAGCACAGGTCAAAGCTTTCAGGTAAGTGCTTAAGGATTGCTTTCAGATCTGAGTTTCTTAATGGATCTCTTTAAATTAAAGACAGGGATAGGCACTATGCCATTTTTTTCAGCTCTTGCTGGATGTCCTTATTGAAAAGGACAAGCACTGTTGTTTCATTACAGCTTATTCATACACATTTTAAAACTTTTTAAAAAAGCAGTTCTAGTAGTACTTGTTCTTTAAAATTTATCTCTAAGAAATGACACTGTTAACTATCAGGACTCTATGGAAGAAACACTTCTCTTGCATTTTCTTATGTCTCCTGTTCAAATGTTTAAAGAGCAACAATATTTAGACATTTAAATTTTTTTAAATGTTTAAATCCAAACTGTGTGTTTACAGATCAATTTGGCCCCACGACATCTTTGGCAGCTCTGAAGATGACCCAGTTCAGACATTGCTGCACATATATTTCCGTCATCAGACACTTGGCCAAACTGGGAGCTTTGCAGTTGTAGGCTCCAACCAAGACATGTCTGAGGCCAGCTCAAAGCTGATGGAACTGAATCTAGAAATTCGAGAGTCTCTACGCATGGTGCAATCCTATCAGCTTCTAGGGAAGATCAAACCAGGAATAAACTTTGTGCGCACTGGATTCTGAACCCGTCATTTAGAAAAGAACTGATGGTGAAGACACTTCAGAGCACCTTTCATGAAAACATAAAAACAAACCTCCAGCAATCCTGACAACCAACACAGTTTTATCACAGCAAGAAACTATTTCCTCAAAAGTAAAAAATCTGAAAATTGAACATCCTACCTGACTGCTCTTTCTACACAGCAGCCTGTGTGGCAGTAGTATTTTTTTATTAAATTTATCTATAAAAACTACATGAAAGGAAAAGGGCTTAAATGTAATGCATATGTATGCATTATTTTCTGTCGTAACAGAACCATAAATGATGTTTGCAGTAATAGTCTCTACAGGTCGATCCAATATCGCAGGTGGGATGAGGCTAAAATTGAGGCTGGTTCATTTTGGCTGAAGACCTGCAAGCCTTCCTGGCTTTCCAGCAGTAGTAGATATAATCATCAACTAATCCCTAACGAGACACTTTGCAACATCATGAAGAATGTGTGGTCAAACATGAGGAGAATGACTCACGACTGCAAAAACCATTGACTTCTCACTGTTTCATTTGCTTTTGTTGTCTGTAACAAGGAAATGATGTGTGTGAGCTAGAATGTATGGCTATGTGACAGTTGTTTTTTTGAAGGGATGGATGATTGGTAAATAAGGTCTCAGAGCATGCTTAAAAGAGCTGCAAGATTATTTTTGAAGAAATTTTATTTTATTAGATCTAATCCTCATAGTGTGTAAATGTTAGGACATTTAATATTTTAAACTGGGATTTCTCAGTGTTTCTAAAAGAAATAATATATCTGTTAACTTTATTGGAATGCTGCTCAGTTCTCTGACCAGTGCTTATGTTACAAATATTGATAACAACTAACCAAAAAAGTAGCTGCCTGCAGAGACTTTAAAATGTATATTAAAGATATATGCTGCCCATCAGCAATTCTCATTAGAAGTTAACTTATTTTATTCTGTATATATTCTAGAAACTGTATAGTGCAAAACCAGTATTTTTCTTGTAAATTTGTGCAATGCACTGTTAAAACAGTAGGTGTATAAAGCTATGAGGGGAAGAGGGGGGTTCCCTATTGGTAGTCACATACAGTACCTGCAGTCTGAGTAGTCTGCAGGGCTGGAAGAGTTGGAATGCATGGATATGAGTCTCCATGCCTCAACTGAAGCCTAAGGAATTGGGACTAGAGAGAGGAAAAAAAATATCCACAAAAACAAAACTGACTACCAAAACATGCAAACAGGCAATATACTCATAGTTCAGCATCAAAGTCTGTAGCATAAAACAAACTGGATTCTGTTGAAACCAATAGCATTTTGTAGGAAAAAAAAAAAAAAAAGAAAAAAAAACAAACCCAGAAAATAAAAAGAATGTAGTCCCACAATTCCTGTGATTTGAAAGGAACACCCAGTATTTTTATATACATCTCTTACCCACTGTGATTTTTTTTTTAATGGGCTCTAATTCCAGAGTTTAGAATGTAGAATTGAAATTCTTAGCTCTGCCTTTCTGGGGGAGTTGGACCCCACTAGAAATGTAATTATGCTGAAATGCATTAATTGAAGGCACTGTGCACGCTGTTGGACTGCTGACAGTAGTTATGTTATCCTAACAAGTTCTGTAACTGGTCAAGGCACATCCATATTCACTGTATTGTTTTCCCCTGTCCCTGATAAAATTGAATTATTTTGATGGTTTTGTGGTACTGTAGATGGTGTTCTTAATTATTTAATTAGTATTTACAGGGGATAAGTAGTTTTATTTAGGGGTGCATTACACTTTTATTTACATCACCTTTTACCAGCTTTTTTTTGTAAAAATAAAAGACATTGTATCTGTCATTTTGTGTATTTTTACAAGCTAGAGTTTAAACACTTTAGCTAAACAGACTAAACACTGACAACAAGGCCTGGGTGCCCTGAAGTCATGTTTTTGCCTTTTATGTTGTGTCACTGCAGCAGCATTTTCCTAGGCATCTTCTGCAGTTAAGGGATTTGTCACAACATACAAACCTGAATTCCTATACCTGATTCCTTATGTTATACACCTTCCTCCACTTACAATGGCTAGTGGAACCTGCCCTGTGGAGCAGAATCAGAAGAGTGTCTCTGATATTACTTAAACATTGTAAAGCTTTTCAAAAATTACTCCTTCTCAACTGCTGCATAAGCTGTTACCTCGTGCCAGGTCTGTGCCACATCTGAAGCTATGGTAAAGCTGTCTAGAAACAAGCAAAACATCAGACATCTCCTGTAAGATACAGCAAATTGAGCACTAACAGAGCTAACACTTGCAAAAGAATCTCTGAAAAAGCTGTAGAGGGCAAGTTCAAGATATCTTTGAAGAACTGGCAGCATGAAGGCTGTTCCTTTCTGCTCTGCATAATCACATAGGTCAGGGGTAGCTTTCCTTTCTGCTGAGTCTAGGAAGCAGTGCCCATGATACAGAGTATGCTGTCAAGGATGTGACAGACCAGCAAAGTTGGAAAATAACTAGAAAAGTACAGAACTGTACTTTGGCATCAAGCAGTAAAAGCACTGACTTTGTGTAAGAGGCAGGACATGTAGAACTGCTGTGGAACTGAGGAATGTTATAGCATGAAGGAAAGCTTGCTAAATATGGGCACTCACTGCACTCTGCTCCTCCACATCACAAAACCATGCAGTAGCTGATGAAAGCAGGGGTGGCTCTTTGCTGCTACCACCTGCCAGTTCATAGAACCATAGAATCAACCAGGTTGGAAGAGACCTCAAAGATCGAGTCCAACCCTACCGTGGTCACTAGACCATGGCACTAAGTGCCACATCCAGTCTCAGCTTGAAAACCTCCAGGGATGGTGAATCCACCACCTCCCTGGGCAGCACATTCCAATGCATCATCAGTCTCTCTGTAAAAAATCTCTTCCTCATATCCAACCTAACCCTCCCCTGGCAGAGCTTGAGTCTGTGCCCCCTTGTCCTCCTGCTGCTTGCCTGGGAGAAGAGACCAACCCCCACCTGACTCCAACCTCCTTTCAGGGAGTTGTAGAGGGTGATAAGGTCTCCCCTGAGCTGGAGTCTTCATCATCAGCTGCTTGCTTGGACCAGTCACTGAAGCACACCATACACTTCACATCAGCTAGGCCTGTTCTCTACATCTTACCAAGCAGAACCAACTGGTGCTCTGACTGTAGCAAGGGGAATGCCAACCCTTAAGTTGTACTAAATTTCACTTTGGGCTAGTAGTGATAACCACATAAGTCACCATATTCATGGCAAGTAATCCCCAAAGCAATGCTTGTGAGGATATCTGTATGAATAGGAAGCACTGGACTGCTCATATTGCAATGAGTTGCTGTATGACTTCATACTGACATGGCCTAGAGTTTCAGTTCTCAGACTTATTACCAAGGTGCACAGACTCATCAGTCACTCACTACATCCATCAGGAACAGAGTACAGCCATTAGAAGGGGGAAGGTAAATGAGAAAACATGAAGTACATCCTTAGAGGGAAATATACTTGGAACTAAAAAGACATCCTCAATCAGTTTCAACTGCAGACTCAGGCAGTGTGGCTAGATGGCTGCAGAGGGGGCCCCAACCGCATTCCTCCTCGAGCTGGAGACTTACAACTGCTCATTACAATAACTACAGGTGAGTGCAACACATCTACAACAGGGAACTGCCCAGCTGCAGGTGTGCTTCTCAAGCTGAGGAGGGCAAGGATGGAACTGGCTGTGAAAGGCTGAGTGAGCTGGTAAAGGGATATTTCCTTCTACTGTGGTACAGAGAAAAACACTTCAGGTAGAATCATGAACTAAAACAGTACTCTCTGGAGGGGCTAGGTCTACTAGTTCTCAGAATGCTTCATTGTCTTATAATGAATGCAGCAAAAATAAATAAAATTACTTGGCAGTAGAAAATTGGCACTGAGGCATTAAGCCTTAGTTACTGCAATAGGTTCAAGGGGCATACTGAAATAAAGCAGAAATTTACAGCAAGATGAATTAAGCCTACAGAACTAACACTGCCCCTCAAGTGAGGCATATATTGTAAGGGAGATAAAGAATATTGCTTGCCTACCCTGCCATACACTATCTTCCACTTAGAGGTGCAAGACCATCTGGTACTGAAGCTGTTGTAGTGTGGGTTCAGACTGGTTGCCCCTTTAGTCTCTAATAGAGCAGTCTCAAGTAAGCTTGTTATAGCAAGATAAATCAATCTTTTCAAATAGAAGCTACCTCAAGTTCTGCAAAAGCCTTTGTGATTATACTAAATTCCAAAATTAACAGCTTTGGTAACATTCTCAGAAAAGCATGTTTCCCTCTACATTGACCCAGCCCCTTAGCTAAAGGGTGGGCTCAGGGTGGAGGTGTGAGTTTGTCAATTAGCTCAGGCTGATATAGCTCAGGTGGTGAGAGGCTTGCAAATCAGCTCAGGCAGTGATGTTGCACTCCCAGAGTCAGCCTGTAATACTTTGCTGAGGCATGGTGTCCCTACAGAGGGCACAACCACTGACAGCAACAACAGCCCACACAGAGCATCACCTGGAAGTAATCAGTGCTGGTTTTGCCATTATTACCAAACACCAGAACACCACTGCTAGTTGTAAACCCAACCCCAGAAGGGTGTGAAAGTTGGATTCTTCCCTGATGGCAGGCACCTAAACTGTAACTAGATCAAACTCTTCAAGCACAATCCACTAAGTGCACAGCTCTTGTGCTTCATCTGCAGGTGGAAGAGGAAGCCAAGCAGATGCAGCATCATATCTTCAGCCTTTGAAGTGTCACCTCTCCTCATGACCTTGTGCAAGTAAGATAATTTACTTACCAAGAGACCACACCATCAGTGATTCCCTTCCCTAGCAGTTTGTGAGAACTAGTCTCCGAAAACCTTTCTTTGGCTTTAGTCAAGACAAGAATACCAGCTTAGCCAAATGCAGATCAGCTGTACCAGAAGTGACCTAGTTTGTGCACAGACTTTCTCAATCATTTTCTAGTGAGATAAAAACAGGTGCAGGAGACTTTCTACATGGAACAGAGGTGTGCACAGTAAGTGAATACTATGAGGTGGGATTTTTTTGTGGATGATGCTCTGCTATCTATTGCAGACATCAATTTGGTATTAATTTCAAGTATTTGACTAGTTTCAAGGGTAGGAACAGCAAGAGATATCCTTTCCACCCGAGATCCTCCAAGGTCCTGAGTCAGCTACTGCAAAGACCATCACTGAATTACGAAATATCCATAGGCTCTTCCCCTACCTAAGTTACAGAACTTACAACATGCACCCTCTGAATGAGCTGGGCACAAACCCACATGAT